AATCTAGCCTACTGATGAAAAAATGCAGTGTTCAAACCTCCCCCCTTAAGGTGTAGAATTCTGGAATGTAGACGATCAATGGTTCATTCTAGTGATGCCAACCCAAGACAATGGAGTTTGAGTTTCTTGCGCAGCCACTCCTCTTCTTCAGTAAGATCCCTTGAATCCCTTTCAATTTCCAAGCGGTAAAGGACCTCCTTAGCCATCTCAGGCTAGAGTTTAATATTCCCCACCTTCCTTTGTCCCCATTTTTATAACCCTCTACTGAGCCAATCAATGGTGCAATCAAACTATACTGGTGCTTCCCAATTCTGTTTGACAGCATCTATAAATCCTAGGACCTTTGTCCAAAAGCTTTCAAAATGAAAAAGACGCTTGCCGCCGGTGCTCACTTTTAAGCCAAGGATAAGTGGACAGTGATCAAATACCCCTGTACTCTACAAAACTAAATCAGGAAAAATGCCTTCCCACTCAACACAGCAGAATGCACTATCGAACCAAACTAATGTGGGAGACCTCCTCCCATTGGACCATGTGTATTTATAGCCCAGCTATGGTATTTCTTTGATCTTAGTGTCATCCAATAACCACCTAAATCTTCCCATCATAGCCTTGTCCATATTTGCATTGTTCTTGTGGGTGGCTTGGTAAATTAGATTGAAGTCTCCTGGCACTAACCAAGGCCCATTGTTCAGATCCTTATAGTTTCTAGCCTCTTGTAGGAACAACATCTTCTCCTCATCTCTTTGTGGTCCACAGACTCCGGTGAACCACCAATTGTAGCCTTCTTGCTCAGAGAATAGGACGGACACAGAATAGGTATCCACTCTATAAGCAATTGCCTGACAAGAGCTGCCCTTCCAAGCAATCAGAACACCTCCCCTAGTAAAATTGGCCAACAATGCAACGTATTTATCATAAGTTGATCCAAACACCAAGAGGAACACGTATTGGGTCATGCTTGCGATCTTTGTCTCTTGCAGACAGACAATGTCGGTGTTGCTGGAATGGATAACATCTCTGACGGCATTGCAACGGTCCTTCTGATTTAGGCGTCACGCATTCCAAATCAGTATAGAAGCAGGATTCATTTTGACAATAATTAATATGACCAGAAGAGAAAATCGATGCCACCATCACACGGTTGCAAGCACGTCCACAGCCTGCACCTGCTCTCCCTCCCCTACTGCCCAACGAAAGATGGTGGCTAAAGCAGCAACATGGGATTCAGAGAGGAATGGCTTATAGAGCTTACTGTATCAGTCTTGTGCATCCAGATCGATGACCTCTCTTTTTTCAAAGCCCAGGTGAAATCTGGATCCATGATTTCCTCAAAGGGAAATCCACAGATACAAACCATAATGTGATAGTCCCAAGAGATCATACCATCACATTATCGAATATCAGTCGATATTACAAGTCATACATCGAATACCTATCTTAAAGAGTACAATAGAGAGGTTTATTCATTATTATATCACCACTTGGCAGAATCACTCAGAGCACATAGCATCTAGAATAGCATCAGAAGGCGCAGCAGCGGGCGTCGACCCAATCTCCTCTGGCAACATTGAGCGTAGTACAAGACCTCTAATCCTCCCAACCATCACCATGGTAGTCGTACTCTGGCTCGTCACCTACCAAATAATTATCAATACGATTTGTACCGGCCACTGGCTCCCACCCTATGCTTTGCGTTTGCTTTGTGGTAAGTGGAATGCAAGGGTAAAGCAAAAGACATATTTATGGTTGTAGTTCTCCTATGCAAATTGATCAATATTTTATGATTGTTTCTCAAGTTTTAACCCATTTCTATCCATCCATCCCTCCCATCCACACATCTCAACAGCTAACAGCCGGAACCAAACCAATCCGAGGAAGAGAAAGAAAGACACCTCTCCCTAATCAAGGGAAGCATAGAACATAGGAATGTCCATGAGCATGGACATGGCTATACATATAGATCGATCAACTCTTCAGAGTGTGTACACTTGGAACCACAAGATCACCATCATCGGTCACCCTAGGTCCCCCACCTAGGCCGTGAGACGCAAAGATGGGGCCACCAAGGTCACCACGCTATCTTAGGAGGGCTAGAGCCATACACCACCTCCCTACACTATCAACTTACAACCTAGTAGTCACCCCTAGAGTCCACTAGCACCCATCAAGAACAGTGGTGGACACAAAGGGTCCTATGAGCTGTTCTCTTGGGCCACCTTCTCAAGTGGGGATAACCATCACCCCATGCTTTATCTTAACTTGGAGGTCTCCTCCCAGGGATCTACTCCGCTCACATGTACCCACCATAGGTACCTCACATAGAGGATGCTCCGGTCACACCCTCCCAGCAAGACTTGTCCCAAGACTCGTCGTAGAATCCTTTTCGATCGACTCAACCCTTACCACACACCTAAGACACATGCCAAGATCTCCCTAGTTGTTATCATTATAATGGCACCATGTGCCTAGCCACTCTACCCTTGCATCAAGATACAATGGTGGTAGTACAAGTAGGGTCCTATAAGCGCATCTAGCCAAACAAAAATCTCTGGCATATAAGGTTCCTTAGGGGACTTCAAGACAACCACATCTTCATCAATTGCAAAAAGGGGATAACCATCACCCCATGAGGTTAGGTTAGGTGGGACGTGGCACCTATAGCCTAGTCAACTCTGCGCTCCTCTATGTACTTGTAGTCCTCCTCCTCAAGCTGCTGCTCCTCCAAGGCTGTCATACGAGACATATAGTTGAGATAAGCAACTCCTATAGATGATCACAAAGAAGCAACAAAAATCCAAAAGATCCAAATGCACCCCAAACAGAAGCCTATGACATAGAGTGCATTTTTAGAAAAAATTGGACACTAGTTTCGTAATTTTCTAAGGTCAGATGAATTTTCTATGAATTTTAAGTTTAATTCATTTTTAAAAAAAAAGAGGGAAAACACAGGCTGGACACGTGGCGCGCTCCTATTGGTCGGCTTGGTCTGAGACACTAATAGGTGGGACCGGGTCAACTATCAATGTTGACTAGGCTGGGTTGGGCCCAGTGGGTTGAGTTATGGGCCGGATATGGGCCGTGCTAGCCCAGACATGTGTCAAGCGCTGAGGCTAGCCTCGTGGCCTAGCTGGGCTCATAACAGGCCTGGTTCACCACGGCGGTTTATGGTGGTCAAGGGGCTGGTGCACCATGGACCATAGACTACGAAGAGGGAATCTGGGGCATGGACGTTGCGGCCATCTGGGGCACGTCTGAGGCGGTGGTGAATAGGGACGGTTGGGATCGGCCTCGCCTCCCTCGGTTTCATGCTGGCACGCAGGCTCAGCAACAAGCAGAGGAAGGGGGTGAGGGAAGGGGTTGACAGGTGGGGTCGGCGGGGCCTGCCTGTCAGCGGCTTCAAGAGAGGGGATGGATGCAAGCGCTTTCAACACAAAGTGGTGGGTGCTATGTGGGGCGCCAACGGTCGAGTGTGAGCACAAATGTTGGGCAAAGTAGCGACCTAGGCCACTTGTGTCATGAGGAGGCTCGGCTGGGCGGTCGAGGCCTTGGCGTTAGGTGGCCTATTTGGCCGGCTGGGCTGCTTTCCCTCTTTTCATTTCTTCTCATTTCTAAACCATTTTCTGTTTCTATTTCTAATTGTATTTCTCCATTTTCTAGCACCCATGTATACCACCTTAGTAGGGTCCACCTAGGTCAACACTAGGGTCTTGAATCAAGCTAGGGTCTGGGGCAACACACACAAACAAGAGCTCTTTTTGTTAAGTGTTGATCAAGATTTTATTACAAGGCATAAGATCAAAAGAAGCAACTCAAATGTTGTTAGATGCAAATGCTCACTCATTCTAATCTTAGGGTCTACTTGTGCAACTAGTGTGGCTTCCTAGCATGCTCACTCACCAAGCAAGGTTATTTTGAAAAAGTTTTTTAAAAAGTTGGTATTTTTGGGTTCTAGGATTTTCAGGGTTGTTACACCAGGTGCCACATTACCCTTTTTTGCGCCTCCATCACCGCCGGCCCCAACAAGCAGGGCCCAACGCCAGCCACCCGCTGGCTTTGGCGTGGTAGGGACCTAGGTGGGGCCAAGGGGAGGAGCTTGTCGACAAGCTTGCACATCATATTCAGCTCCTGGATTAGAGAAGGCACCGATCAACGACTGCTAGGGTGGGTCAACTTCAATGGACAGAGCACGGGTTCTGACATGGTGTCGCTGCCGTGAATACACCTGAAAGGGGTGGGGGCAAAGCAGCAGCAATGGCGCTAAGGGTGGCAAGGCTCCCTTTTGAAATTGGGGGTTGGCCGCCGATGCCGCCTGTGAAGCCGGTTCATTAGCTAGGGGGTCGGTGGTGGCGGGCTAACCGGACTCCTCTAGCTCGACTCTGGCCGCATCCCTAAAGCACTTGAGCTCCATGGGTTGAAAATCTTCAGCATCACTTGACCCTACAGAGGGCTGGAGGCCCACCAAGCTCCCAACCCATCTCAGCAGAAGGGACCAAGGACACTGGTCGTGACCCATTATGAGGGGATTGCCCACCGGACAGGGCCTGATCTAGGTCAGCGTCCAAAGATGGTCCACCACCACCGACCGCCGCATGGGAGGGGGTTGGCTCCAGTAACTCCACCGCCAAGCTGAGAGCACGCAGGGATGCCTAGAGCTGCTCCACTACACGGAAGGTTCACAAAAGCATGGGGAAGTCGGAGGGTCCTCATCGAGAGGCACAGCCATCATTGGGACATCATAGTTGGCGAGACGACAAGCGTGAGCGAGCTAGACTCCTTGAAGGTGGCGCGTGGGTGAGCTGGCCCCCTCGGAAGCCATAGCCAGCACCAGGGCATCAATGCCGGGGCGGTTGGCAAGGCATCGCGGGGAGGCGGATTTCACCTAGCTGACATGTGGCACTCCATAGAAGGCCATGGGACTAGCCTGGTGTGGACCACCCCCCATAGAATACTAGATGTCGTCGGGCCACCGAGCGCCGCCTTAGCTAGCCTATGCACCAATGGGGAATGGCACCATCGCCGCCTTCTTCATCGACCCCTTCCTTCATGAGCCTAAGGTGGAGAAGGGGAACCTCCAGATGTCAACGGCCGGTTCAAAGGGACCATTGAGATGTGAATGGGATACGATAGCAAACGCTTCGTCGGGTCCGAGCTGTTGTCAGCCATGGAAGGCTTAATGACATCTAAGTCCATCACCGCAGGGATCAAATTAAGGTCGGAAGACCATGCCGCCACCTTGAAAACGTCATGTTAGGATGAATGTCGCCGATCCAGCAAAATTCATTCAACAGTTCTTCCGACGTAGAGAGCTCCCATGCATGAGCCGAGTTCTCGCACAACACAATGTCAGCCGTCGAGGGTAGACTGGAAGCAGACGAGTGGATAAACCACGTCCACTTCATGATGTTAATACAGAGGATCGGGATAATGATTGGCCGTCCACCATTGTAAACCCTTGATGCAGTGTCCTCGTCTGGTAGGATGAGGAGGAAGCTGGTCCGCCCTGAGTGGAGAAGGGAGGGCTGTTGGTATTTCTTAATATATACAGAAATAATCTTCAAGCATACAAAATTACCATTGTAGCATTTCACCCAGAAGTATTCAGGGTATCATATTTCCATGAGGAACGGATGTGTAAAAGTCTCTTAGCTAGTTCACCTAAGGTAACAAGAAGAAAGATAGCTCGGGTAGTGAGGTTTTCCAAGTATAGAGATCCTAAGTTAAGATAGCTTTGCCACTATAGACTTGCTTCGGGCACCAGATAACACTTGGTCTGCCAAGCGTTGCCGGCCTACAACTCTACGCCATATCCAAACTTGGGGGATTACAAAGGACGGACAGGGCTGTCACCACCTACCGCCTACCCCTCAACCGGAGGATACGTGGCAAACGAAGGTAGCCTCTAGCCTAGACACCACGTCTATGCTATCGACTACTACTCTAGAATCGATCAGGGTTATCCGTCTTTATCAGGGCCCTTTACTAGAGTATCCGCTACAAGAGCGAACGACGAACCCGCAAGTAAATAATGAATAAGACTAACTTAAAGTAGAACTCACCACCGAAGATAAACACGAACCTTGCACTCCAAATAGTACTAGATTCGTCGAGATACAAGTGAAGAGGGAGCCGACATTCCCGGCATTCCTTCCGCTCGGTGTACAAAAGGGGCCCCGGTACACAAGCGGAGGTATCCAACAATTCCGATACTTCTTCATCTCTTTCTCTTCCTCACTCACTCCCTAAACTAAGCTTAAGAGCTAAGATATGAAAGTGGAGCTCCTCCTCTTCTTATCACATTGTGTAACTTGTGTATGATGAATTAGATTTGAGAGAGGCCTCTCCCCCTTCTTATATAGTGGTCTATGGTCGGTTTGGGTGAGATAAATTAGAAAACCCCTCGAAACCGACCCTAGGTGCATTGATGGCACCGCCCATCAAGGTGGGAAGGTGGGACCTTGACCCTCTGGCCAAGCCACCGCCTTCAGTGGCAAAATCTGCACAGTTGGACTGACCTGCCACGGTGGTGTGTACTTTGATTTGATGATTGGTTGCACATTCTATTCCTTGGCATAGAATCTACTATACGCTTTCCTCAAGGTGTACTTTGATCGTATTTCACATGTATCATGTATATCTCCAAAACTCAACTCACCAAAACTCATGGAATTCGTTAGTATAAACCCTATTTACTAAGTTTTGGTGTTTGTTTGTATGAATTTTATGTAAAGTTGGCGGGTGAAAATAGTAGTTAAGGGCCGCCAACAAGGGCGTCTCCACATCGGCCCCAAAATGAGTAGCGCCAAAGCTCTTGATTGAAACTTTGATGTCATCAAGAGGCTCACAGAGATGATGGGGGACGACCGATCACAGAGATGATGAAAGCATGCCCATGCGCTTCCTCCCTCTAGCTGATGGGGGACGACCGATCAATGACCCGCTGGGCCTCAGAGCGGGAGCTTCTAGTTCATCGCCGCTTGAGGACGAAGGAAGGGAGACCATCGTGGCATCGCCCCCCATCACCACCATGGCGCGTAGAAGGGGCCGACCCATGATCGTCCCTAGCTTGTTGCCTCGACACCGGCCTGCATCATGCACGACACCAGTGGAGGGGCAGGGCCAAGTGACGGAGGGGGAGGCACAAGCGATGGTGAATCGATGACCCATCGCTAGGCTAGGCGTCGTAGAGGAAACAACCTCCGGTGATCCGGGTAGGCGTGAGCATGGTGCCCCAGGGCTCGGCAATGGAAGCAGCGGGGGCCAAACCGGCAGCTTGTCACACGATGATGTAGAGAGAAGCAGTTGAAGCAGCGACCTCTAAGGTCATTCGGGACAGACCCATGAAGCCAGCCCGCCAGCTGCCGGGCTTCCTTGCGGGTCCATCGGCTCAGCACCTTCACCCAACCATCAGCGTCGAGGGCATCAAGCACTGCCGGGAGCCGATTACTCGCCCGCGTCGCCACAATCTGTGACGCAGGGGAAGCACCACGCCAGGGCGTGACCGGGGGCTCCGGGCAAGGGACGGAGGCCTTCAAGGCCGACGCAACGGCAATCCCAGCCCGCACCACCTCCGAGAATGATGGGCAGTGACACCGCCGGACTTGCCAAATGGAGGGGTTTCCTGGCACCACCGGTTCCTTCGCCCTTCCCCGCGCACCCCAGGGAGGAGGTTTGAGGGAGCCGCGTTCATGACGCCAGCGGGAGACCCGGAGGCATCGGGCGGAGGACGAGAGAGAGAGAGAGGGGGTGAGGGAGAGGTGGAAGGACGAGAGCCATCTCTCTCATCTGGCCGACCTTTTGCGGGTGGGATGTAGGCCCTGTTTGGCAGGGCTTCTCCACCGGCTTCAGGACCCGTTTTCTGCCAAACGGGGTAAAGTGAAATGGCTTCACTAGTGAAACCCCTAAAAATATGCTCTCACAGTGATTTGGGGAGGGATGGAGCCAAAAAAAATGGCTTCTCCCGGCTCCTCCTCCAAGCCCCTAAAAACATGCTCTCACAGGAAAGCCGTTTTGCCAAACGGTTTACCAAAATGGCTTCAGCTCCACTGGTGGAGCTGTTCGTGGAGCTGAAGCAAAAAAAAAATGGCTTGACTAGTGAAGTGAGGCCCTGCCAAACGGAGCTGTACTTATCCTACTTGAAACGTATACAAGTTGGATTCTACAAGCATCTTCAAGTTGCACTCGGAATGAAGAAGGAGAAAAGATTGATAAATTTATATATCAATAACTGATAATTTATCATAACTAGATATAGATTATAGATATCTGTATATCTTTTGTGTTATAAAATGAACAAGGAGAAAAGACATGCAAATAATATAATAAGTTAGTTATATTAGTTATATGCATCTAGCGCTTAAATGTCTCCTTACATTCTAACCCAAGCACGAGAACGAGTTGTTGACTAGTGTACATAATAAAATTCATCAAGCTTTTCATATCGTCAGCCGACACAAAGGGTGTCAGAGTTTGAACATTGATTAACAAACACGTTCATTTTGAAGACTAAGAGCGTGTCTTGCTAGTCACTCAAATATTAATACGCAATGCAAGTTCTATTACTACCTGTAGGGCCAATTGTATGTCGAGTTTTAATGAAATCCATCATATTTTTTTGAGAAAAAATCATAACTACCTAACTCATCACCATTATATTACTGCAATTTGTGCTTTATAAATCAGTTTGGTGGCATCCTTGCCATGACACACGGCTTCTTTCCTAATAATCTCGCTTACAACACTTCATTAACAGGGTCTTCGATTTCCTTTTAAAGGAAAAGGCAAGTGACGTTGGCAATTCTTTGATGGGCTTGCTGGTTGCTGTAGTTGCCGCGGTCGTGAAACCATTCAAAAAAGACACAAACACTTCTGCGAAATCATCAAAAATTAAACAAGAAGAGAAAGAACCATCGATTGCACGCTTCGTGGTAGCATATGTTTTATTGGTTGTCCAAGTGCTGGTGCTTGGTATTGTCTTGTGTCCTCTGGCAGTTCTGTATATGCTTGGGCTGTATCTCTCTGCTGGAATTTCTTTATGGCGTCTGATACAACATGACTATGGTAACCCTGATGGAGGCGCCAACCTAAAGCCAGCTCTCAACGTCTTGTACTCCTTAGCCATGGCCCAAGGTGTGGTTTATGGCTACAGGGCCATCTATGATTTAGTGGCAAAAACCGGACTAGTGGAAGAAGTGGCCAATTATTATTCATTAGAGACAGACCTAGTTTCGGAGTACCTAGACGAAACTGTGGCAGGATGTATGAAGGATCCGTCGTTTGCGAGAGGAAGGAACCTCGTCACATATGCTGTGGACTTATTGATGGAATCTAAGTCTAGGTATGGCTACATTTCTGGGGTTCTGATTCTTGGAAAAATGGATAGGTATTATTATGGACAGCAGGGTCTGATGAAACAACTACTGACTGGATCAGCGTCCTTTAGCCACGTGGTCCAGCGACTACTAGAGACATTTGGTCCGAGAAGCCCATGTAGCACAGAGATCAGGGTGCGAGCTGCCAGGATAGTGGCAACTGTTGCTGGCAGCATCTGTCTGGACCACTTCCCAGCTCAAGGGATGATGATGATTCAGTGTGTATCATCCCTGCTCGACACATTTGAAGAATACAGGTGGCGGCCTGAGGGATACGATGAGCGACAATACAGGTACAAGGAGTGCGATCGGGGCTGGCTGCTAGGTGACCGGGAGCTTATGTACCTACATGTCGACAAAATTCCAACCGCGAAGGCCGCTGACAGAAAGACACAGGGCTACAAAGGTCTGGTGGTGCAAGGCCTATGTATCCTTCAGGGTCTGGCCGCCAATGAGGACAACTGCAGAATCATAAGGAACGCTCAAGGTCTGCTATACAAGGCAATATCGCCTCTTATCTCAGACCAACTTCACGGCGGTGACCATCATGATGAATGGTCCAGCATGGCAGAGGAATCATTGGTACTGATTTCACGGCTTATGGCTACTCCGTATCCAGGAGAGACCGGAACAAAGCTGCCAAGTGAGATCTCAGGCAACATCCAAGTCATCATCAGAGCCATCAAAGTTATTCTAGAGTGTGTCAGGTGTCAAGCGCTGCTGAAAAGACAAGCCGTAGAGGTCCTCCTACACCTGTCTCTGTATGTGGATACACATACACCAGACTCCATTATGCTTATGCCCGGTGGAAGTGGAAGCAGCAGCAGCACAATGTTCGTATGGATGCTGCTGCACATTTCTCTTGTTCCAGATTATCACTTTGACAGGATGTGCGGTTCCGCTCATTTGGCAAAGAAGAGCAGTGACATCAAAGGATTAGCAGGTGAAAAGCTGCAGGGCATGCTGTCTTCATCTTCACAAGCGAGTACGCTGAGATCAGTTGGTGACGTTATTCGCAGCCTTGCTACAGCAGTTGCAGATGCCGAAAACAATGCATACATCAGAATACATGCAGCAAAAATCCTGGAGGACCTGGTCCATTACTACACCAAGGATGATGAGAATCTCAAACAGCTGAAGAAAGCCATGACTGATGCGATGCCAGAGGTAATTAACCTAACCCGTGCAAACATATATTAATACCAAAATTTTTTAATGAAATCCCTTTCCTTCCTATATTACTGACAAGGCCTGCCTTATATTATCGGAGTATATAATACTACAGTACTAGTATCTTTGCAACTCTGAACTAGCATTATTATATTATGGATCGATGCCTCAGGTGCTCAAAGAAATTCTCCATGGCCGAGGCATGAGAGAAGCAGGAATACAAGCTGTAACAGAAGCAAACAACGGCGGCAAGATTCCGGCAGCTGGCGCGGACCTAGAACAAGGTGGTTCTTCGCATGATAACAATGGTACTTCTCATCAGCAAAAGGGTGAGCAACACCAGGGAATCCAACTGCAGAAGGCCTTGGGAGAATTGTGCTGCACGGTATACCACTACTGGATATGGAAACGAGACCAAGATTTGGCTCGTCAGTTCGACGAGATCGCAGCCAAGATATGTGCGGGACAGGGGATGCCTCACAAGACTTTCAGATCACTTGTGTATGAAGCAACCAAGAAAATTTGGGAGGAGAAGAGGCCTTCAAGATTGGCGGCTGAACGTACCAGCTAATTCCTCAAGTGAAACAGGAACCTGAGTAAGAGGACTAGATGACAGCGCTCTAAAACCTGAAGCCTCCAACATCGGCATGCACTTTGCTCCGTCAGGATTCTCAATATAAATGTCTATTATATCTATTTATCTTGTGTGTATGTACTTTGTTAAGTTTCATTTGCCTGGAGACCATGTTATTATGCTAATTATATATCCTCTGTTTTCATGTGTTTATATTTTAATAAAGTAAAAATGGGATACATGATTGGCCCCTCAGTGCTGGTGCACGAATATTTATGTTTATGATGTTTGTGTTTCTTTTCTTCTGTTTTCTTATTACTACCAGATGATAAGAATCCGTTGTCATTGGGCCTGTTCGCTGGTTGATGCTGGTGCTGGTTTGGGCTGGCTGGTGCTGGTTTTTTGTGAGAGGAAAACACTGTTGGCTAACTGGTTTAAATTTGGCTGAAACCAACAAGCGAACAAGCTGATTGTGTGCACTTATGGAATTTGTGCTTATTTTCTAATATTTTTCTTACTATACAGATGACAAGAATCTGTTGTCATTGTATGCATTTATAGGACCGACACGTATATATTAGCTAGCTAATTGCATAGTTGCTGGGTATTGCCGACGACAACCTTGTCTGGACGCAATCCTGTGAAGAACTGCACCTGCAGACTGCAGTACAAAATAACCGGCTTTGGCTATACTGCACTTTCACCATCAATGCCAAAAATATTTTACTTTCACCCACATATTGTTTTTCTCATGCAAGATGGGTGTTCAGTTTTGCTTCATGATAATATATGTTCCACGTATACCATTGTATCTGAAATAGAACAAAATGTGCTACTATTTGTAACTTTCTTGCCTTTATTTCATTCAAGACGTTACTTGTAAATGTGAGATGAAGTTAGCTTCTCAACATGAACAATTCATCAAAGGTTTCAGTTGCACAAATCCTCAATACTGCAAAAAGAACCTCCAGGTAAAAAGGTTCAAAGGTACCGATAATTCGAGCCCTCATAAGCCAATTTACTTAGCCGAACTAAACTCATACTCTCATACATGGCTCCTTGAATCAACTTGAACAGAACAAAACATTGAATACAACTCACGAAGTGATTAGCAAGGGCTACTCTATAAGCCACGGTGTTTGAACAGATTCCCATTGGCAGAGCTTGCCGTCTTTGAACCACAGAGCTGCAAGTAGGAAAGTAGTTTGAGCTCGTCATCTCATATTGTTAAGAATAATAGCTGGCAGGCTAAAACAAATTTAGGTCCAAGTTAATATGCAAGCCATGTCACTAAGTACATGACACCATCAGTTTCATATTCTTAATCCTGCTCGTGATTTTCATGTCAACTAATCCAATATCAGGGCAGTTCTCAAAGTTTGAACAAAACATTACTAGACCTTGCCATTTGTTTAAAAGGATCATTGACTCAAGAAATCACCTAAACGCGATATAGAATCATACTGAAATATTGCAGAACTTACCAATTTCACGCTTGCCATTATCAGGACTATCACTTCCATGGACACCATTCCTGAAACGTTCAATTCCATCATAGTTTATTTGATATGCAGGTAAAAATGGTAAAATGGAAGCACCTTCCAACTATAAATTTTAACAGGTGAGTTACATGATTAAATATTACAACATAAACACATGAAAGAGGGTGGCTGCCAACCTTCCAGTTTGAACTGCAAGATCACCCCTTATAGTCCCTGGTTCAGCTTGAAGGGGGTTAGTAGCTCCTATTAATTTGCGAGCCGATGCAACAACACCATCACCCTCCCAGGCCTTACAGGATAGAAGAACAAGATTGCAGCTGTGAAATCTGCATTGGTGGAAGTGTGGAGTTGCAAATATGTCTAGCTCATAAGAAAAATATATACCATGTAGACAACAGGGCCAGAAGTTATGTAATCTATCAGCTTAGGAAAGAAAGGTCTATCCTTCAAATCCTTGTAATGCTCCTGAGAGACAAGGAAGGGTGAACAACACAGAGTATATGAAAAGCATTATAAGTGAATGAACTCCTCAATATTTCCATTTTGATGTGGAAACAAACATCACATTGTGTGCAGCAACGAAGCACAGAAAGAATCAAAGAAAGGTTGACTAGATTATGTTGGCGCTTTAGTGAATGTTAAGAAAACAATGAAAGTGTGAAGTTATTAAAGAAGAGAGATGCAGGCAATGTATTTATCAAATATTAGTACAAAAAGAAGACAAGAAAGACCAGCCACTTGAAGAAAATGAATGATATGGTCTAGGAAGTAACTTATCCTGGCACTTAATATAATGAAAAATATCAAAGCGAGCACTATTACAGCATCAGATCAGTACTTAGGATGCCAAAAATCAAAGATACACAGTAAAATTATGAAACTAACTGAATATCAGGAACTTCTTTAAGGGAATAACAGATGAATAATATAATAAAAGTTGGAAAGTATATCTATGTAGAAAGGATACACATAAGGATCCTAAGCTAAAATATGTAGCACTGGGAGATATATTTGACAGCCAAAGATGATAATGATAAGCAACTTTGCAAGATCCACAATAGTTCTGCAACATTGATGTGTTTTGGGAAGCAAACCTGAGCCAAGTCCTTGGGGCACTGGAAAAGTTTTAATCCTTTCAACAAAAACCCTTTCTTCTCAAAGCGAGAAATAATCTCTCCAACCTATATGCATCAGATATAGTATGTTTTATCTGAACTAAAACACACGAAAGAAGCTAAGGAACAGCACCATACTGGGAAAAGTGTGGGTGTGGGGAACTGGGGAATGCATACCAGACCACGCTGAACACCATCTGGTTTGATAATAATGTAGCTTTGCTCAACCTCCTACAGATTGCAAGTTCTTGTTAAGCAAGGTCTCATTATGGATAAGTAAAGAACTAGATGAAAGTGGACTGCTCATGTTATGGTGGGAAAACAGTACCACCGTCGGGACCACACCAGTGGCTAGAGCTGATCACCGAGGAGGCTTGCCGAGCGGCACAGCGCTCAGGGCGCGGTCACCACGGCTCCTGGAGCCGGGTCAGTCGGTCCAGTTAGTTGATCAAGTCGATTTGCTTTGTTTCCGTTGAGTTGTTGGCAAGGAGTGAATTTAGGAAAGTTTGTTACGTTTGTAAGCTGCTTATATAGCACACACATTCCCTAATGAATGGAGAAGCCTGGGTTTGAGATCTAATCTCCCTTGGGCTCCCAGCCCCAGTCGTCTCTCTGTCCCTCGCCGAGCACGGCGCCCGCTCGCCGCCGGTTCACCAGGCCCCGACCGGTGAACTCCCCTCCCTACTTCCTCCGTAGCAAGTCACGGCGCCGTAACAGCTCAACTTCTCATAATTGAGGTCACAGGATATCAGCATCATCAAAATGTTTCAAACATTTTATGAATTCTAAACTTCTTTGTAGAAAACAAAAGGATGATTGAGTTTCATAGAACGAAAGGATAAGTGTGCCATACAGATGGCAACAGAAATAAGACATTCTGTAAATTCATGATAAAGCCGCTGATAAACAACAACTATTTATCCAATCTGAAATCATATTTCCATGTGTGCCTTTATAGAGTTCAACGACAAATCTGAAATTGTTCCCTAAATGAATCACTGATGACCTGAATATGGACTTTCTGAGGCTAAATGGATGAAACTACTAGCACTATTTATCAAATCACATGTGCCTGAGATTTGTGTGGAGAAAATGGTTTCCTATAGCATCAACAGGAATTGGTGGAAGGACTAGATTAGGTTGTCATCTTTAGAAAAATAACTCAGTTGCCGTTGCTATGTTTTGAAGATCTGCAAACACAACGAAATTAACTAATTTGGAAGTATTTGGAATTCCACAATGTATCACTAAGATGTGCAAAAGCATTTAATTTAATTTAATTAGCACATATCATGTTTCAGTTGAAAAATAGGTTGGCAGAGAAAAACTTGCTTCCATTGTACTCCCTCCGTCCCAAAAAGAATGCAATTCTAGTTTAAAGCAAGTCATACTTTTTTAAGTTTGATCATTTTTATAGAAAATAACATCAACATTTATATCACCAAATAAAAATAATAAAAATATATTCCATGATAAATCTAATGATACTTATTTGGTATCATAAATGTTAGTGTTTTTTATAAATATTCCGGAGTCGATCGTCACCAACCGCGACCCCGTCTTCACAGGTCATGTGTGGCGGGACTTGTTCCGGCCGTTCAAAGTATGCAATTGCATGATGAGCTCGCCTTCCATCCTCGGGACCGACGGCCATCCGGCGGTGAACAAAGTGATCGCCATGTACCTCCGCTGCATCACCGGCGACCGTCCTCGCGAATGGCTTGACTGGTTGCCCTGGGCGGAGTTCTGCTACAACTCCTCATTTCACTCCGCCCTGCGCACATCGCCGTTCCAGGTTGTCTACGGCAGGCCCCTTCCGTCCCTGCTACCGTATGAGTAGGGCTCTGCTCACACCGAAGCCATCGATGATCTGCTCGCCCGACGCGACGCGTTCCTCGCGGAAGTCCGGGACCGTCTACTGCAGGCGCAGCAATATGCACGCAAGCATTACGATGCTAATCACCGTGCTGTGGAGTTCGCCGTCGGGGATTGGGTCTGGCTTCGTCTGCTCAACCGCACGACCCAGTCCCTGCTTCCGGCCGCCCGCAAGAAGCTTGGCCCCAAATACGCCGGCCCTTTTCAGGTGTTGGAACGTATCGGGCCAGTGGCCTATCGTCTACAACTGCCGGAGAACGCTCGGATCCACGACGTCTTCCACGTCGGCGTCCTCAAGCCCTTCATCGGCACTCCTCCGGCAACTACTCCGACACTACCTCCACTACAAAGATGGACGCTCTCTCACAATGCCCGAAGCGCCTCCGCTCCACCCTACGTCGTGGAGCCTGGCACATCTTGGTGCAGTGGGCTGGCATGCCTGCAGCAGAGGCCACATGGGAGCCGGTCGACGCGTTCCGCGCTGCCCACCCCTCGTTTCAGCTCGAGGACGAGCTGTTCCCGAAGGGGGGGAAAGATGTTATGGTGGGAAAACAGTACCACCGTCGGGACCACACCAGTGGCTAGAGCTGGTCACCGAGGAGGCTTGCCGAGCGGCACAGCGCCCAGGGCGTGGTCACCACGGCTCCTGGAGCCGGGTCGGTCCGGTCCAGCTTAGTTGATCAAGTCGATTTGCTTTGTTTCCGTTGAGTTGTTGGCAAGGAGTGAATTTAGGAAAGTTTGTTACGTTTGTAAGTCGCTTATATAGCACACACATTCCCTAATGAATGGAGAAGCCTCAGGTTTGAGATCTAATCTCCTTGGGCTCCCAAAATTGATCGTCTCTCTCCGTCCCTCGCCGAAAGCACGGCGCCTGCTACGCCGCCGGTTCACTGAGCCCCTTACGGCTATCACGGCTTAGGAAAGAAAGGTCTATCCTTCAAATCCTTGTAATGCTCCTGAGAGACAAGGAAGGGTGAACAACACAGAGTATATGAAAAGCATTATAAGTGAATGAACTCCTCAATATTTCCATTTTGATGTGGAAACAAACATCACATTGTGTGCAGCAACGAAGCACAGAAAGAATCAAAGAAAGGTTGACTAGATTATGTTGGCGCTTTAGTGAATGTTAAGAAAACAATGAAAGTGTGAAGTTATTAAAGAAGAGAGATGCAGGCAATGTATTTATCAAATATTAGTACAAAAAGAAGACAAGAAAGACCAGCCACTTGAAGAAAATGAATGATATGGTCTAGGAAGTAACTTATCCTGGCACTTAATATAATGAAAAATATCAAAGCGAGCACTATTACAGCATCAGATCAGTACTTAGGATGCCAAAAATCAAAGATACACAGTAAAATTATGAAACTAACTGAATATCAGGAACTTCTTTAAGGGAATAACAGATGAATAATATAATAAAAGTTGGAAAGTATATCTATGTAGAAAGGATACACATAAGGATCCTAAGCTAAAATATGTAGCACTGGGAGATATATTTGACAGCCAAAGATGATAATGATAAGCAACTTTGCAAGATCCACAATAGTTCTGCAACATTGATGTGTTTTGGGAAGCAAACCTGAGCCAAGTCCTTGGGGCACTGGAAAAGTTTTAATCCTTTCAACAAAAACCCTTTCTTCTCAAAGCGAGAAATAATCTCTCCAACCTATATGCATCAGATATAGTATGTTTTATCTGAACTAAAACACACGAAAGAAGCTAAGGAACAGCACCATACTGGGAAAAGTGTGGGTGTGGGGAACTGGGGAATGCATACCAGACCACGCTGAACACCATCTGGTTTGATAATAATGTAGCTTTGCTCAACCTCCTACAGATTGCAAGTTCTTGTTAAGCAAGGTCTCATTATGGATAAGTAAAGAACTAGATGAAAGTGGACTGCTCATGTTATGGTGGGAAAACAGTACCACCGTCGGGACCACACCAGTGGCTAGAGCTGATCACCGAGGAGGCTTGCCGAGCGGCACACAGGCCTTCAGGCCTGGTCACCACGGCTCCTGGAGCCGGGTCACCGGTCCAGATTAGTTGATCAAGTCGATTTGCTTTGTTTCCGTTGAGTTGTTGGCAAGGAGTGAATTTAGGAAAGTTTGTTACGCTTTGTAAGCTGCTTATATAGCACACACATTCCCTAATGAATGGAGAAGCCTGGGTTTGAGATCTAATCTCCCTGGGCTCCCAGCCCCAGCCTCTCTCTCGTCCCTCGCCGAGCACGGCGCCTGGCTGCCACCGGGTTCACCAGGCCCCGACCGGTGAACTCCCTCCCTACTTCCTCCGTGGCAAGTCACGGCGCCAGTAACAGCTCAACTTCTCATAATTGAGGTCACAGGATATCAGCATCATCAAAATGTTTCAAACATTTTATGAATTCTAAACTTCTTTGTAGAAAACAAAAGGATGATTGAGTTTCATAGAACGAAAGGATAAGTGTGCCATACAGATGGCAACAGAAATAAGACATTCTGTAAATTCATGATAAAGCCATTGATAAACAACAACTATTTATCCAATCTGAAATCATATTTCCATGTGTGCCTTTATAGAGTTCAACGACAAATCTGAAATTGTTCCCTAAATGAATCACTGATGACCTGAATATGGACTTTCTGAGGCTAAATGGATGAAACTACTAGCACTATTTATCAAATCACATGTGCCTGAGATTTGTGTGGAGAAAATGGTTTCCTATAGCATCAACAGGAATTGGTGGAAGGACTAGATTAGGTTGTCATCTTTAGAAAAATAACTCAGTTGCCGTTGCTATGTTTTGAAGATCTGCAAACACAACGAAATTAACTAATTTGGAAGTATTTGGAATTCCACAATGTATCACTAAGATGTGCAAAAGCATTTAATTTAATTTAATTAGCACATATCATGTTTCAGTTGAAAAATAGGTTGGCAGAGAAAAACTTGCTTCCATTGTACTCCCTCCGTCCCAAAAAGAATGCAATTCTAGTTTAAAGCAAGTCATACTTTTTTAAGTTTGATCATTTTTATAGAAAATAACATCAACATTTATATCACCAAATAAAAATAATAAAAATATATTCCATGATAAATCTAATGATACTTATTTGGTATCATAAATGTTAGTGTTTTTTATAAATATTTGGTCAAACTGAAAATCGGTTGACTCCTCCAGAAGTGAGAATTGCATTTTTCTTTTTGGGATGGAGGGAGTAAATTTACTGCAAGAATCCACTTTCAGTAACCTGCAGTCAGTTCGCATGTATCCTTGCATTCGTCAGAAGAAAGCATGGTCAAACTTTGACTGGAAACAAGGAGAGCATTACACTGGGGCCACATAAGGTCCAACTCATGACATGGTACAGGAGAAACGTTGTGACTACATACAAATAGAGAGGAAAAGTTGAGTCCTCTTGATAATTTACAAAAATGGAGCATGTGTTGAATGGTGTATTTTCAGCATTGACTGCAAGAGGAAGCCCAAAGCTCAGTTTCACCACATTCCTAATTCCTAAGGCAGAATAGAATTCAAGAAACATACTAAAAGCCTAGGTGAAATAGGAGCAAAAAAAAGGCACGTTGCGCAGTGCAAATTTCTTCAGTTCAGCTGCTCTGCATAACCTACCCACTAGACTAATCCCAAAGGTAAGAGGATTATGAGGTAGTTTCTAGTTAGCCTTACTTTTCGAAGAAAAAAAATCTCCAATTTGAAGCTAATCCAATACATAAAGATCAAGTAAAGCTACCAAAACCATACAAAAAAATTGCTCTCCGAGCCGTTCCTAATCCTCGAACACACGATCAGAACCAAAATTAACTCTTCACCATTTCCCCAACCTCGAGCTAATGCAAGTACCCAATCAGACCAAGTATGCAGGGGCACCAACCGAGGAGGCGACGATTTTGCGCCGCGGGACGGCGCGAGCCCTGGCCGCCCTCCCGCTCCCTGCCGACGCGGTGCTCAGCCCCAGCCCGAGCCGGCCGCGGGGCGTCGTGGAAGCGGCGCCGAAGGAGAGGGACGCCGTCGGCCGCAGCGCGCAGGAGGGCCGGCGACTGGACCCGGCAAGGGGCGGCGCCGTCCTCGCGAGCGCAGCCATGGTCTCCATCCTTCTCCATGGTAATGGACAACGGCGGCAAGGGCAAGGATCTAGCAAAAGGTTGAGCAACACCTGGGTATGAAACTGCAGATGCAGGAGGCCTTGATAGACGTGCTTTGACGATAAGATTCGGTTGGATTGACATTGATTTGACAAAGACCAAGAGATTTGACTCTGTCACTTCAACGAGATGGCAGCCAAGATATGTTCGCAACAGGACATGCCTGAAAAGACTTTCAAAAAACTCTTGAAACCAAATATTGGCCCTAATCGTTTGTATTATAATCCGTACTTCTTATCTTATTTTTTCAATCGGAACCGTTTTTTCTCCCAACAAATTAGTCGGAACAGTGTTTCGGCTTGTTTTTCAGCGAAGCGAACGGGGCCATTGGCCATGATCAAACCTTTACAGTGCCAAAATTTGGCCTAAAATGCTGCATTCGGTACCAAGCCAAATTCAGAATAACGTACTCAAATTGAAATAATCGAACTATTAAGTGTGCGTGCTCTTGTGTGTAGTTGTGTGATTTGTTAAATTTTCATTTATCTGGATACCAAATACACTATGCTAATTACTCTCTATTTTCATGGGTCTGTTGTTGATGAAAAAAAAAGACGAGATTTGCCCATGATATCGGATTTTCATGTCCTCCACGCCAGTATACAATCGATTTTTGCTGATGATTGTATTTTTTTACTAGTGATTCATAATATATAGGCGCCATAGGCCCAGCGCTATGAACCGCTAGTATAAATATATTTTTATTGGTTGTTTTCTTAAGTCAACCGTCAGTAGAAATACAACTGGTGATAGCTTTAGGAAAACAGACAATAAAAATACAGTTATGCTAGCGATTTTTTTAACCTAGCGCCACTGCAAATAATTTGAATTTTTTTATTTTTCAAATTATCTCGGATGGATACAAGGTCTAAACGAAAGTTGTAGTATTTAAAAAGATCTACAACTTTGTAGTTAATTACTTTTTTATTTGGAATCATTTAGGGCTTGAAAATTATTTTTTAAAATTAATGATTTTCAAATTCATAATTTTTCAAAATTTCTCAAATGGAAAATGATCAAAAGCAAAGATATAGATCTCGACAAGATCTACAACTTTGTAGTTGAAACTTTTTTTCATTTGAATTCATCTAGGGCTTCAAATCTCCATTTCAAAATCTGGCAAAGTAAATACTAGAGGATTGTTTCTGGTGCTAAGTCACAAGTGATTTTGGGCTGCACTGGTAAGAGACATATCATGCGAGGCATGAGGTTGTGAGTTTGATTCCCGGATCATGCAAATTGCGCGAATTTATTGTGAAAATGCAAAAATTGCTAGGAATTGGGTGTGCTTGCCCCAATGCATGCCTCCCCTATTAAAAAATATGTAACTTTTTTAACGTGATTTGCGATTTCTGAAAAAATCATTTACATAGGCGGTTTTCTTGTATAAATCGACTTACAGTGACGGTTTACTTAAGAAAATCGCCAGTGTAAATATTTATAGTGGTGGTTTTTAATGTGACGTCAGTAAAGTTAAGTAGTTTTTATTGGTCTTTCACACTGGCGACCAGTAAAAGCACCCAATCAAAATCGGTTTAGAACCGCAAGTACTGCCATTTATGGTCCACAACATGGATGAGAATTAGCCATGCAACACATTGCTCTTTTATGGACTCTCAAGTTGAATGGTTTGGACCCTCTAAGTTTCGCCCTAGAGTATCCCTTAGCCTTCATGAATCTCCTTTCCGCAATTCAATCTTCATAAACCAAGTCTTGGGGCCAAGGCACGTAGATATTCACATTACTACTAATTCAAATAAATTTATGTAACACCCCCTGTAAATCTTTTGTTAAAGCATGTCATGAGCATCATGGTTATGTGTTAATACATGTAATATAAAGGGGTAGATCAAATTCTGTAACTTGAAACGATCATCGGAAACGCGAAACGAAAGTTACATTTCATAGTCAAGTCATACCACTTAGGGTTTCAAATCAATATTTATTAAGCAAAAATGCTATAGAACCCATATATGGAACTTTAATAAAGTTTGTAGTACAAATCTTGTAGATGACGATGAAATTCCTGCGGTCGAATAATGAACTCACTAGCTAACTGGTCTAATAGGTTGGGGAATTAAATTTGACGCGAAACCGATAAGACTTGGTCAAATTTCTTAAGTCGGAAATGGGTTTGACAAGGCTAAGTTTGACAATTTTTGTAGCGCGGTCGGGTTAAGAAGTGATGGGGTATTAGGGCTTGTTTTAGTAGCCTAACATGCCATCTCGAGTATAGAATAGGTGGTTTAGCAATTGAAGCATCGAATTGGATTTTTGGGACGCTTTAAAAAGCGTGCATGGCACGTTTTGGGCTGAGTTCCTCGCGTGGACGTGGTCACCGTGCCTCGGCACTCAGCGTCGCCGCGCCAGCCGTCCGACGCACTCGCGCGCGTGCCACCGCACTGGCCTGGCCACTTTGCCCTGCATTGTCCTTGCTATAGCCGTCGTGGGCCAGTCGCTCTAGCTGGTCCGCTGCCGCCTGGACGCCTGCCTCGCGTTGTCACTGACGCATCATGGACCGCCGTCGTCCCATCACCGCGCCGCCTCACGCCGTCACCATTGTGCCACAACACGCGCACGTTTCCTCTGCGTCGCGTCGTCACATCGTGTGCACCCACGCTGCTTGCGTCGCGTCGCCACTGCCGCTGCTGCGCGCGCCTGCTGCACCGGCACATGGCCGTGTCGCCGTCGATTTGCCAATTAAGGCGCTGCCGCCGCGTGAGCCGTGTCGACCCCATACGCGCACGTGTAGCCTTCTGTGTGTGCCCCTGTCCTCTTCTATTGAGTGGCAAGCGCCACGCTGCGCTACCCATTCACCTCCACCTTTAATGGCATCATGCCAGTGCCACAGAGCTGTACCTGAGCCAGCTCGCAGCGTTCACTCTAATCCAAGCAATTGAGTGCGCCAGATGGTTGAGTGGGAACCTAGCTATGCGTCGTGATCGCCACTGCTGCAGTCGTGCGCCGTAGAGCTCCAATTTGGAGTCTTCTTCCCCATCGGCCATCTTAAGGCCGAACGGCGACGCTCACCTCAATTAGCCTCGCACTGTCCACCTCCATCCAATTCCTTGGCACCGTGTCTTTGCCTTGATCCCCTCCACCCCCGCGTACCTCAGCCTAGCCGCTACCGGCCCACCATGGTCGCTGACACGACGGTGTCCCCACAGTGCGCCGCCGCATCTCACCGTCGCACGTTGCCAGCTCGGTTCAGGAAATCCCTAGCCAAATTGGCCCCACAACAGCAACAAGGGTACGCTAGTGGTGCTTTAGGGCTAGCTATCTCTCACTGTGGTGGTTTAGGGTGGCTAGCGCGGTCGTGCCGCCGTCGTGCGTGGCCACGCGTCGTGGCCACCATTGCCGCGAGCTTCGTCCCCTGTAGCTTCGGCTAGGGTAGGCTCTAGGGTCGTAGGTGCTGTTCGGCTCGCTAGTTTGGTCGGAGTGGGTCCTGGTTGGCCGGCGTGACCGCTCAGTGCTAGCTCCGCCGCGCCGGTGCGCGCGCGGTGGCCCGAGGACTTGGCCATGGTAAAGATGGATTGTGCCGAGGGCTAAATCGCTCAAGTCCAGACTGTAGGAATAGGGCGCATTGGAATCAGGGGAATAGCAATTAGAACGAGGGTGTTTTCGCAAAAAGGCCGGCGCGCGCGGGCCTCCGCGTCCTGGGCCGTTGCCGCGCGGATGGGCCGCGCACCCACGTGGGCCGCGCCGGTGGGTCGCGTGTGTGCACGCGCGCTGCGCGGGTGTGGGCCAAGCCGCGATGGGCCACGCAGATGGATTCCGTTTTTTCATTTTTCCAAGGAATTAGTAAATGTTTATTCAATTTAGTTTTGAGCTGATCTTTATAAAATTATAGTAAATTCTGTAGATGTCCAAAAATGGTGAAACAAAATTTGTTAAGATCACAAAAATGTTATCTATCTATTGGTGTAGTTAGTTTATAGTTATCTATGATAATGGTAGAATCATTAATTCATTTAGGAACGCTTAGTATTATTTAGCTTAATATTTGTAGGAATTTTTGTGGCAAATTGGTGATAGCTATAGCCATGAAATTTTTACAGTAGGTGCATTAGATTATTATGTGCTCACTGTAATTTTTATAGCCCTAGAGTAGGTTGATAAATAGAGTAGCTAGTACTCCTTGTTTTATCATATATAGAGTAAATCAATATTAAGAATAGGAAAGCCTTTAGTTGCTAGGATAATACATGCAATGTTTTATACCTGTTTAGTGGGAATGATAGGCAACTTAGTGTCTTAGTCGGTAGAGCTAATTTAGTAGCTTGATAGATGTATTTTATTTTAAGAGTTGTTGTTGCTGTATTACTAAATGTTGCATCATCATTTCATGCATGTAGATAACGAGTTGGTAGAGTTCGTGCCTACGGGCGAATAGAAGTACAAGGAGATCATTGAGGAGTATGAGGAGGAGATTCTCATACAGGAGGGAGCTCCGGAGCCATCAGTTGCTGACTGTGTTGACACACCACCTGCCCAAGGCAAGCCCCAGTGCATAACCCTTATTTTGAATTATCACTGAATATATATATAATGTGCATTTACGTTACAGGCATTTTATGGAAACTACATGCATAGATATACCTACCTATGAGTCCTACTAGTATAGGTCGAGTAGTTGCTACGCTCAGGATTTCGGTAGCGTGAGTAACCTGCCGTTACTCACAATAGGTGATTATTAAGATCACTCATGATAAAATGGTGGAAAGGAAAAATGGATACCGGGTAGGGATATGGTTTGGGTATTGGTGGGTGTAAGAGGTTGTGTTCTGCGGCCAACGGGGCATAGCTTGGTTACACTTTTTTCCTGTCTGTGTTGGTTAAGGACCGACCGTTGCAATAGACTCTAGGCAAGTCATAGACTTATTATCCCTAGCACATACTTGGGTATGGGCGTAGGGAAGACTTGTTGCTCTCTTATCGTGGGTTCTGG